GGGGAGGGGAGGGGAGGGGAGAGGAGAGGAGAGAAGAAAAGATGCCCAAAAATCGTTCTTGAAAGGTTGGTCGCTCTCTCTAGGGGAAAAACATGTGGCCAAATTATGGTAATGTCTAATCCTTGCAGGAATATCATTTTGTTGTCTTCAGCATAAAAAAAAAAAAAAAAAAAGGAGGAGGAGAAGAGGAGGGAGAGGAGGGGGAGGAAGGTGAGGAGGAAGAAGGACGGGGAGGAGGGGGAGGAAGTAGAAGCAGGAGTGGGGGAAGGAAGAAGAGGAAGAAGAAAGAAGGAAGAAGAAAGGAGGAGAGGGAGGAGGAGGAGGGGGAGGAGGAGGAGGAGGAAGAGGAGGAGGAGGAAGTCTGGACAGACATACAGAGGGAAGAATGCAGCATGAAGGCAGAGGCAGAGATTGGAGTGTTTCGGCTACAAGCCAGGGAGACCCAAGGACTGCAGTGAACAGTGGAAGCTAGGTAGGGGCAAGGAAGGGTCTTCTCCTAGAGCCTTCAAGGGACCATGGCCCTGCTGATGCCTAGCTTTCAGACTTCTAGCTGCCAGTGCGATGATGAACTCCTGTTGTTTCAAGGCGCTCAGTTGTGGCACTTTGTATGACTCCCCTAGGGAACGAACATGCTCACATCAAAGGCCACCCAGTTAAATTCCATTCCCCTCAGCTGCTGTCCCTAACTGTCCCCATGCTCTGTAAGGGCGCTGCCTACCAGCAAACATATTCTCACTCTTCCTTTCCCTCATGGTTTCTCAGGCCCAACTCACTAACCAACCAATCAAACTTGCTCTATTTTGGAGGAATAAAATGTCCTGTCCCTCTTCCCAAAGCCAGCCTTTCTCTTCGGGCACCGTTCTCTTCTCGTGTCTTCTGTGAGATTTCACTCTATTATTCATCTATCCCCATCCTTATACTTTCAAACTCTGCGCTGCAAGGAAGATCTGGATGTCCATGCTGGGATGCTACCTCGCTAGCAGAAAAGGAGAAGTCAGTAAAACCCACACTTGCTACAGATCTTTTGTTCCACCAGCAAAGCCCACACACTCATTCCTCGTCTTGCTCAGCCCATGCCACGTACGAAACCCAAAACAAAAACCACCAAACAAACAAAATGTTACACACGTTCCAGAGGTCAGAAGAAGAATGGGGGAGTTGGATGTATAGGATGCCCGTGCTTTGCCTTTCTGGGACCAGAACGTTTCTTGTTATTAGCTCATTTGCTGTATAAAGTCTGGGTTTGGCTTCTGTTCAATCTCACGTTAACTGCTTATCTCAGAACATTTTTGTATAACCACCGTAGCAAATTTATATAACCACCCTAGCAAATTTATATAACCACCCTAGCAAATTTATATAACCACCCTAGCAGAAGCTTCTAGAGAAAGGTCTGGAGGAGTTCATCTTGGTAGCTTTCTCTCCCTGGATGGAATTGAATAAATGATGCTTTCTAGATGTCACAGTTTTTCTCCATAGCAGGACTTGACAACTGCCAGTCACAAGAGCCACAGCTTGGTCAACTGTAAGTCAGGCAGGGCTGAGGACGCAGCAGCCTGCATGACTGTGAGGGCTGGGGCATAATCCGTACCTTGTCTTGCCACAATTAAGCTGGCCATGCAGTCTGGAACACTTGTCCCTGCTGCCAGGAAAGTAATGCCCATGATGACGTCTGGGATCCCAAGCGTGTATCCAATAATAGTCACCTGCAGGACCGGGTGTGGAGACATGAACACTCAACCAACAGTATGTGGACTAACAAGACATTCCTAGTATTAGAGACACTGTAAGCATGGGAAACTGGGTTATTTTGGAATTAGTGGGGCTGCCTCTTTTTTTTTTAAAACGCTGAACTATGAGTCTAAGAAGGCAAAGGATGGAAAGATGGAAAGAAGGAAGACCTCGTGTTTGCACATACCGTCCGGAGTGTCAGGACCAGGGGTGCCACACAAGCCCTGCTTTACCCTGAACTCCAAGCCCGGGCCCTCTGAGCCCTCAAATTTCAGCCTTCAGACAGGGAAGCAGATTCAGGTCCAGAGCTCCATGGGCTGGTCTTGGCTCTGTCCTATCTGTGTGACTTTACAGAAGTCATGTCTTCTCTTTGGTCCTCAGTTTCCTCAACTGCACAAGTGTGCTGGGGGAATGGACAATCCCTTTCCACGTCCCCTCCCATTTGGAACTGACATTCAAGAATCATTCTTCCAAAGCCTTGGGGGTGAGAGCTGTATTAATACAAGGTGTAGGTGAAGGGGATGGACAGGTGGGGCTTTACTGTTCGCTGGATCCTTACCAGGACATAGTGAAAGTAAGTGCAGGGTGCTCAGGCGAGCACACCTTGCATAGGCAGAGATCAAGGCTACCATGGGCACTGCCTTCTTTACAGACTTTTACTGTCAAGGCCATTCTACTCCCCAAACTGAGGCTATCGGAAGTTCAAGTCCATAGGTAAGAGTGCCCCAGTAAAGTTGTTCCAGTGACCCCAGAACCCTGGTTTAAGAAACAAGGGGCTGGACGCAGTGGCTCTTGCCTGTAATCCCAGTACTTTGGGAGGCCAAGGCGGGCAGATCAGGAGGTCAGTAGATCAAGACCATTCTGGCTAATACGGTGAATCTCTGTCTTTACTGAAAATATAAAAAATTATCTGGGTGTGGTGGCACACACCTGTAGTCGCAGCTACTTGGGAGGCTGAGGCAGGAGAATCACTTGAACCCAGGAGGTGGAGGTTGCAGTGAGCTGAGATCACACCATTACACTCCAGCCTGGGTGACAGAGCGAGACTCTGTCTCAAAAAAGAAAGAAAAGAAAAGAAAAGAAACAAGGGTGGGGTTTATAAATCAAGGTGGTGGGGGTTGGAGTGTCCTGCCTCACTGATAATTAACAGAACGGATTTAATCATACTGTTATTTTCTGTAACTAGAGAAGAATTTCACATATTTATTAATTTGATCTTCCTGATTCTCATGCACACTCAAATGTCATAAAATACTTTCTTTACTTGTAATATTGTTTTGAAAATATACTCCAGTAAGAGAAGTCACTGGATCCTTTCTTTAAAACATAGAGATGGACTGGCCTTTAATTCTATTCAGAAAAATAAAAAATTGCAAATCCAATTCAGTTAAGGCATAGTTTTCATTATCTCTGATTGTCATCTTTTTCTAGGGAGTTTTTGTTTGTTTGTTTGTTTGCTTTTGTTTGTTATTTGAGATAGGAGCTTGCTCTGCTCTCTACACCCAGGCAGGGGTGCAGTGGACTGATCACAGCTCACTGCAGCCTCAACCTCTTGGGTTTAAGCAATCCTTGTACCTCAGCCTCTTGAGTAGCTGACATTACACCACGCCTGGCTATTTTTTTTATGTTTTGTAGACACAGGGTCTCACTATGTTGTCCAGGCTGGTCTTGAGCTCCTGGGCTCAAGTGATCCTCCTGCCTTGGCTTTCCAAAGTGCTGGGATTACAGGTGTGAGCCACCATGCCCAGCCTCTAGGAAGTTTAGATAGTAACTAATTCCAGCTCTTCTCCCACATCCCCCATATGGAGTGGGTTATGGGGACTTTAATCTTCATCATGGAAGCATGGAAACAGCATTGGCTGCATCTCATGGTGAAAATGGCTAATATTTACTGTTATAAGCATCCAGCCATGCTGCAAACTCAAATCACAATGCCTGAACAAGATGATGTAAGACTAGGTTGAAATTGGGTCTAATGTACACAACACTAATTCAACACAAGAAGGGCACTATAAGAAATCTCACTGCTCAGTGGCCAAACTGTGCATTATTCAGCGATGCTCATGATCAGCCAACTGCTACCAGGTAATCACCCCAATTGGCTGTTGGTTTCAATAAGTGGCTAACTACTGGATGCTTCTGACATGGTCTAACCACACCTGTTTTGGTCTGGGAGTAGGATATGAAAGGGAGTGGTCAGGAAGGACATGAATGAGTTCCTTGGGGGGGCAGACTTGAAGGTTAAAGTGTCCCCATGTCCCTCATTCAGCTGAACCAGGCCAGGGTGTTCCAAGTGTGTGTGCCTGGGGCTGGGGCAGATGCTGGGGGCCTGGAGGCTTGGAGTGGTTCTACCCCTCCTGATACATGACTTGATTCATTCACTAAAACACAATCACAGAGTCAGTCCTGAACCTCCTTCTGGGATACAGAGCTCTAAGTAGGTACCAGGAGAGAGGGAGCAGGCTGGGGGCAGTGCCTTCCACCAGGTGGTGTCTTGGGGAGGTTCTGTTACAGGGACAGGGGGCTCCTGCACGGGCAGGTGTAAGGACACTCACAGAGGCAGGGGCAGGTCCCCGATCAGCCTGAGGAAGCATCTGAGGCGTGGGAGCAGGCCAGGGGCATGGGATTTCAGGAAAGCCCAGGCAAAATGGCTCCCATGCACTGTTCAGAACAAGCAATGCTCTGGGAGGGATGGGGAAAGGCACGATTGGGTTGGGGAGAGGGAAGAGCCAGGATTGGCCAAGAGCCTAGAATGTGCTGGGCTCTCCTTTCATTCTCCTAGTGGCCTTGTAAGAGATCCATGATCACCCCTACTTCATAGAGGGGGTCACCAGCTTCCAGGGTTTGCAAGAGGTAGGACTAGGATTCAGCACTGTTCTCATGTGATCCAGGATCCTTGGTTCCCCGCTAAATGGCATGGTTTCTCTGGGGTTAAGTGAAACATGGCCCCTGTGCCAGGATGGAACGTGTGCTGGCCCTGCTGTCTCTCAGGTCAAGATCGCTTGCCTTCTCTGCTGCTGGTGTCAGCCATTAGGAGGAGAATAAAGTGACTCAATGCTAACCACTAGGGTGTAAGGGGCTGAGAGTGAGCTTCACAATCAACGGAACTGCAGCCATGCTGGAACCACTTCCCCCTCTTTGCTCCTGGGAATAAGGAGGAGAAGTGGGAACCTTATTAGGTGGTATACAGAGAGTGGGGAAGGAGGCTTCTGTGGGGCCTGACCCAACTCAGTCCAGTCGATGAAAGGGTTATATGGGAACCTGTCCTGTGTGGCCATGGGAGCTTATGAGGAGCTACATCAGTGCCTCTCTGCCTGCAAAACTCCCATCCAATGAAATCTGAAAAGTCCAGTAGCAAGCTGAGAGGTAGCTTACAGTAGTAGTTGAGATCATGGGCTCAGGAGATCAATATCTGGGTTCTAATCCTAACTCTAGCACTCACTAACTGTGTAATCTTGGGGAAATTACTCAATTTCTCTATGCCTCAATTTCCCCCATTTGGTTGATGGGGATAAAAATACCCATCCCTTGGGGTTGTTATGAGGATAAGAAAGAGTTTATATGAAGTGCTTAAACCAGCATCCAGCACATCACTTGGAGGAGGAACATTCCTGGGCAGGAGCATAGGACAAGCTGCCTTGTGTCCAACCTCATCTCTCTCAACTCCAGTCTCCTTCCTTCACATTCCCTTGGGACCCTGGAAACCAAGGGCGCTTGGCGATCAGCCACCTGTCATATTGCTCTGCCTATAGCACCAGAGCAGTGTGATTTAGGGTGCCCGGGCAAATGTTGGTCTCCTTTCCTCACCCTTGAAGGCAAGCACTGTGCTGTGTCTCCGCATCCCAGGTACCTGGCACAGAGTCATGCCCCTCATTCAAACCATTTTCTACTGAGAAATATGCTGTGGTCAGTGAGGCCAGTGACTTGCCCAAAGGTGGCACAGCAGTACCTGTGGTTAGCTTTGAACCCTGCTCCCCACCTCTCCTGGGCTGTGCACACAGCCCACGCCCTGCTCCCCACACTCACCAGCCACACCATGATGTAGGAGAACACAGCAATCCACAGCGTGGCGGTGATGAAGGTGACCATGAAGAACTTCTCCCAGTGGGGCTTGCTGCAGTTGGGAATGGTGACGCACAGGAGGAAGATGAGGGGCCAGGTGAACACCCACTTGACTTTGTCCCCTCTGGCCTCTGCAGTGGGAAGGGGCAGAGAGAGAAAGGAGAGGGAGAGAAACACACTGAGTCACACACCTGCCAGTCTACCTGTCGGTTTAGTTTTCAAGCTAAATAAGAGAATGCCACTGATGTGACTCTACACAACTGACCTTGCAGAATCACGGACCTCCATAATGTCACCCCGGAAGTGGCAAGACAATTCAGAAAGTGTTTGTTGCTTGAATCACTTCAGGCATTCCAAATCCTTCATTTGACAGGATAAGGAAATTGAGACCCAGAGAGGGAACAGACTTGCCTAGAGGAGGAGCTGGAATGGGGATGTGAACCATGGTTGGGCTTTGGAGTCAGACAGCCTTGGGCTGGAAAACAAAGGACCTTGAGAATCTCAACCCTACTTCCTCCTCTGACTATAATAGCTTAGAAGTAACAACAGCAGGGCAGCAACAATCAACACATCCAGCATTTGCCATGTGCAGCAGGCACAGTGCTCAGTGCTTTGCATCTTATTGGTTTCTTCATCTGTTAGATGAGAAAGTTATCTCTTTCTCGATTGTTGCAAGAATAATGTGACAGAGTGTACATGAAATACCCAGAGCACAGGGCCTGATACACAGTAGGTGCTCTGGAAATCTCAGCTCCTTTGTCCCAAGGTCCTATAGTCAAGACAGGCACAAGACTAAAAGGTAGGTGTCCTGGCTGGCAGTCCAGATCTCATTGGCCCCTACCAAGGGAATCCACAAGCAATTCAATGGAGGAGAAGAGGCCTCATAAGTCATTGACTGTAAGCATAGTTTCCTTAATAAGCCATTGAATATAGGTGTGTACGTGCAGGTTAAAAACTGGCCTGCTCGTCAATGAAATGGTGGAGGGAAAACCTCTGCAATTTTTATTTTTTATAGAAGCAATGAGAACAATGGCAAAAAATTGTCAGAATCACCTTTTTCCGACCTCTGGAATTAACCTAAGTTTTGCAGCAATCCAGGGAATGTCTATTTAAAAAAATCTGTTGGACCTTAGTAAGAACAGTGAACTCTGTGGAGTTTTAACTTTCCCTATTTTTATTCCTTCTTGCCAAGTCTGGAGTAGCCCTAGCAGCATGCAACCACATAATGAAAAACAGCAGGCTAGCAGCCACCAGAGGGGGCAGAACAAGGTTGGAGGACCTCCCAAGTCCATTCCCATACAGTTGTTATCATTTGACCTGTCTGGTGGTTTCCTGGAAGACTCCACTTTCGAGGCTGTCTTTATTTTACCAGAATCTGAGCTCATCCAGTGTGCACAGCCTTTTTCTTGGAGGTGTTTGTCGAAAACAACTAGAGGCAATTATTAAATCATGTTGCTGGAAATGGCAGATGGCCGCTGGGACAAACAATAGGTTAACCAAAAAGCAAAAAAGGAAAAGCTGGGGATCGAGGCATCTACAGTGGACTTTGAAGAGCTCCTAGATATCTCTCGGAGTCTAACAGACCATGAGCAAGCACAGGGCTGTGCCCAGGGTTCTTCACATGCTCAGCAAATACTCGAGACTGCTGTACGCTTTCACCTCTGCCTAAATTTGAAGCTCTGTGCAAATAAGAAGGAAAGCCTACTGCAGAGTTGTAACCTGCCTGCCTGAGTGTTGGAGGATGCCCCAAAACACATACAGAGTCCCTTGGCAAAGACTGGGAGAACTACTGGATCCAGGAATCCAGGGAAGTCTCTGTCTAATCATTAGCTGACCTCTAGGCTAACCTAGCAGAGACTTCAGTGGCCACACACAACAAAGAAAATGAATTTGACAGAATTCGTTTAGAAAACTCACTAAACAACAATAATAAAGAATAACAACTACAAACCCTAGAACAGGACATGATCTCTTTTGAGGCTCTGTACAAATAAGGTAATCTCCATGATATAATCCCCTGTTCTCCAAATACGATGTAATAGAATTAGAAACCGACAACAGAAGGAAAGCCGGAAAATTCACCAATACATGGAAATTAAATAACGTACTCCTAAATAAAGGATCAAAGAAGAAAGCACAAAAAATTAGAAGATACTTTGAGATGAATGTAAAAAATGTAACATACTAAAACTTATGGGATTTAGTGAAAACAGTACTTAGAGAGAAATCTATACCTGTAAAATACCTAATTAAAAAAGGGAAAGATCTCAAATCAATGACCAAGTGTTTCTCCTTAAGAAAAATAAAAGAAGAAGAGCAAAGGAAGTCCAAAGAAAGCAGAAGGAAGGGAGAAAAATCAAAGTTAGAGTGAAAATAAGTGAAATAGAAAATAAAAAACAGTACAGAGAATCAAAGAAATTGCAAGTTGGCTCTTTGAAAAGATCAATAAAATTGACAGACCTTTAGCTAGACCAAGAAAAGGAGAAGACTCAAATTACTAGACTCAGGGATAAAAGAGGGATATCATGTACATTACAGAAATAAAACAAACTATTAGGGAAGAATAGTTTGTTATGGCACATGGACAATTATGTGCCAACAAATTAGACAATCCTAACAGAGAAGGTTCTACAAAGGTACAAACTACTGAACTGACTCAGAAAGGAAGAGAAAATCTGAATAGATTTAAAACAAGACAAGGAAATAGTAATTTAAAATTTTCGCTTAAAGCCAGGACCAGATGGCTTCATGGTGACTTCTATCAAATGTTTAAAGAAGAATTAACATGACTCTTTCACAAACTCTTTCAAAAAATAGAAGAGTAGGGAACACTCCCAATTTATTCTATGAAGCCAGTATTACTTTGATACCAAAAGCAGACAGAGACATCAAGAGTAAAGAAAACTGCAGACCAATATCCCTTATGAATACTGATGCAAAAATCCTTAACAAAATTCTAGCAAGCTGGAATACAGTAACATATAGAAAGGATTATACACCACCACCAAGAGGGATTTATCTCAGGAATGAAAGCTTGATTTAACATATACAGTTCAATCAATGTAAAACATTACGTTAATAAAATAAAGAATAAAAACTACACAATCCTCTAAACTGCCACAGAAAAGACATTTGACAAAATTCAACACTCTTTTATGATGAAAACACTCCACAAACTAGGAGCTGAGGGAACCTTCTCAATCAGATAAAGGGCATTTATGGAAAACCCACAGCTGACACTTTTACTTAATGAGAAAGACTGAAAGCAATTACAGCTCTCCCTACCCACCCCACTGCAAAATCAGGAACAAGATGAAGATGTCTACTCTTACTCCTTCAACGCTGAATTAGAGATTATATCCAAGAAAATTAGGCAAGAAAAACAAGTAAAAGTAATTCAGATTGGAAAAGAAGAAGTAAAACTATCCCTATTTATAGATAATATGATCTTATATATAGAAAACTCTATGGAACCCATAAAAAACTATTAGAACTAATAAACAAGTTCAGCCAATTTGTAAGGTATGTAATGAACATACAAAAATCCATTGTTTTTATACACTAACAATCCAAAAATAAAATTAACAATCCCATGTACAATGCCATCAAAAATTTTAAAAACCTAACATTTATGTAACAAAAGAAGTATAAGATGTGTATGCTGAAAACTACCAAACATCATTGAAAGAAATTAAAGAATACCTAAAGAAATGAGAAGAAATCCTGTCTATGAATTGGAAGACTTAGAATGGTTAAGACAGTAATATTCCTCAAACTTATGTACACATTCAACACAATCTCTATCAAAATCCCAGGTAGCTTTTCTGCAGAAATTGACAAGCTGAGCCTAAAATTCATATGAAAATGACTTTTAGAACAAAGAACAAAATGAATTTTAGAAAAAAGAACAAAGCTGGGAAATTTACACACTGTGATTTTAAAACTTGGTACAAAGTGACAGTAATCAGGAGAGACTGCTACTGGAAGAATGGAATGAAATTCTGAGTCCAGAAATAAACCGAGACATTTAAAGGTTTATTTATGGACTCAACATTTACTGGCATAAGAATGGAGTAAAATTTTGAGTCCAGAAATAAACCCAGACATTTAATATCTTGATATTTGACAAGGGTGTCAAGACAATTCAATAGGGAAACAATAATCTTTTCAACAAATGGTGCAGAGACAGCTGGATACCCATAGGCAAAAGAACAAAACTGGTTCTCCATCTTATATCATACATGAAAATTAAATTTTAAAAATGATGAAGACCTAAATGTAAGAGGCACAACTACAAAATAACATGAGCACAACTCTTTATGATCTTGGATTAGGCAACGATTTCTTAAATGACACCAAAATCACAAACAACAAAAGAATAAATTATATTTTATCAAAATTTAAAATTCTTGTTATTGATAGAATGCTATTAAGAAAGTGAGGCTGGGGCCGGACGCCATGGCTCATGCCTGTAATCCCAGCACTTTGGAAGGCCAAGGTGGGCGAATCACTTGAGGTTGGGAGTTTGAGATCAGCCTGGCCAACATGGTGAAACCCCATCTCTACTAAAAATACAAAAATTAGCTGGGTATGGTGATGCATGCCTGTAATCCCACCTACCTGAGAAGATGAGGTAGGAGAATCACTTGAACCCAGGAGGCGGAGGTTGCAGTGAGCTAACACCACTGCATTCCAGCCTGGGTGGCACAGTGAGACACAGTGAGGCTGGGCACAGTGGCTTATGCCTATAATCCAGCACTTTGGGAGGACAAGACAGAAGGACTAGTTGAGGCCAGGAGTTCGAGACCAGCCTGGGCAACATAGTGAGACCTCATCTCTACATAAAATACAAAAACTAGCTGTGCATGATGGCTTTTTATTCTCAGCTACTTGGGAGGCTGAGGTAGGAGGATTGCTTGAGCTTAGGAGTTAGAGGCTGCAGTGAGCTATGATTGCTGTTGCACTAGGCAACAGAGGGAGATCCTTCTTGAAAAACAGAACAACAACAACAATGAAAAAAAAACAAAGGAAAAGAAAGATTGTGAAAATACTACTTACAGAATGGAAAAAAATATTTTACAAATCATATATCAGCTAAGGGCCTATTGTCCAAAATATATAAAGAACTCTT